AACATTGTATAAGTTTAAAGCGTCCAAAGTGATGACTTGATATAGTTACATATTACAAAATGATTACCACCATCGCATCATATCACATAATTACCATTTCTCTTTTGCCATAAGAACATTTATGATCTACTCTCTTAGCAACTTTCAAGTAAATAATATAGTATTATTAATTATAATCACCATGCTGTACATCCTCAGAACTTATCTTACTCGTCTTACAACTGGACGTTTGTAACCTTTGACAAACATCTCCCCATTTCCCCCATGACCCATCCCCTCCCTGTTTCTATGACTTTGCCTTTTTTGGATTCCACATATAAGTGATATCATATAATATTTGTCTTTGTCTGATTTATTTCACTTAACATAATGTCCTTAAGGTTCATGTAAGTTGCTGCAAATGGCAGGATTTCTTTTTTCTTATGGCTGAATTGTATTTCTATCTCTGTCTTTCTCTCTTTATCTATCTATCTCACATTTTCTTTATCCATTCATCTATTGCCAGATACTTAGGTTGCTGTTTCCATGTCTTGGCTGTTGTGAGCAATGCTGCAGTGAACATGCGAGTGCAGATATCTCTTTGAGAGCCTCTTCTCATTTCCTTTGGATAAATATCCAGAAGTGGGATTGCTGGATCATACAGTAGTTTTATTTTTAATTTTTTGAGGAACCTCTATACTGTTTTCCATAGTGGACATACCAATTTCTGTTCAAACTAACAGTGCACAAGGGTTTCCTTTTCTCCACATTGTTGCCAACACTTGCTACCTATTGTCTTTTTTTTTTAATTGAAGTGTAGTCAGTTTACAATGTTATGTTGTGTTAAGACATTTTGTCTTTTTGATAACATCCCTTCTAACAGATGTAACGTGATATTTCATTGTGCTTTTGATTGGTATTTCTCTGATGATGAGTGATGTTGAGAACACTTTCATGTACCTGTTGGCCGTCTGTATGTCTTCTTTGAAAAAAAGTGTGTATTCAGGGTGGAGTGGCCAAAATGGCAGAAAAGAAAGACAATCTTAGGCAGTAAAAGACCTGTACTTGAAAAACTGTAAGATACTGATGAAAGAAATAGAAGATGACACAAAAAGATGGAAAAATGTAAGGTGTTCATGGATTGGAAAAATTAATATTGCTAAAATGACTATATTACCCAAGCTAATCTATGAATTCAATGCAATCCCTATCAAAACCCCAACAACATTTTCACAGAAATAGAACAAATAATTCTAAAATTTGTATGGACACACAAAAGACCCTGAATAACCAAACAACCTGGAGAAGGAAGAAATAAGCTGGAGGTATTATGCTCCCTGATTTCAAACTACTACAAAGCTATGGTCATTACAGCTGCACGGGACTCACACAAAGGTAGACACGTATATCAACACACAGAACAGGCAGCCCAGAAATGAGCCCACACTTACAAGGGCAATTAATCTGCAACAAAGGAGGTAAAGCTACACGATGGGGGTAAAGACAGCCCCCATGTAACAAATGGTTTTGGGAAAACTGGACAGATACATGCAAAAGAATCAAACTGGACTTTCTCACACCAGGCACAAAAATAAATTCAAAATAGATTAAAGCGTTATGCTAAGTGGAAGAAGCCAGATGGAGAAAGACAAATACTGTATATATCGCTTATACGTGGAGTCTAAAAAATACAACAAACTAGTGAATATAACAAAAAAGAAGCAGACTCACAGATATAAAGAACAAACCAGTGGTTAAGAGTGGGGAGGGAGAGGGGCAACATAGGAGTGGGAGAGTGGGGGGTACAAACTATTGGCTGAAAAATTGGCTCAAGGATATTTATATAACATTGGAAATAGAGCCGATGTTGTATAATAACTGTAAATGGAAAGTAACCTTTAAAATTGTATAAAAATAAAGAATTAAAAAACAAAACAAACTTTAATTAGGTCCCATTTGTTTATTCTTGCTTTTATTTGTATTGCTTGGGTAGACTGCCCTAGGAGAACATTTTTGAGATGTATGTCAGATAATGTTTTGCCTATATTTTCTTCTAGGAGGTTTATTGTATCTTGTCTTATGCTTAAGTCTTTGATCCGTTTTGAGTTTATTTTTGTATATGGTGTAAGGGAGTGTTCTAGCTTCGTTGATTTACATGCTGCTAATTAAACTTACAAGCTTCTGCACAGCAAAGGAAACCATAAGTAAAACAAAAAGACAGCCTATGGAATGGGAGAGAATTTTTGCAAATGAAACCAACAAAGGCTTGATCTCCAGAATATATAAGCAGTTCATATGACTTAATAAGAAGGAAAGAAACAACCCAATCCAAAAATGGGCCAAAGACCTAAATAAGCAATTCTCCAAGGTAGACATACAAATGATCAACAGGCACATGAAAAAATGTTCAATATCACTAATTATCAGAGAAATGGAAATCAAAACTACAATGAGGTATCACCTCACACCAGTCAGAATGGCCATCATTCAAAAATCCACAAATGACAAATACTGGAGAGGCTGTGGAGAAAAGGGAACCCTCCTACACTGCTGGTGGGAATGCAGTTTTGTGCAGCCACTGTGGAAAACAGTATGGAGATTCCTCAAAACACTAGGAATAGACTTACCATATGACCCAGGAATCCCACTCCTGGGCATATATCCAGAAGGAACCCTACTTCAAAAAGACACAGCCCAATGTTCATAGTAGCACTATTTACAACAGCCAAGACATGGCAACAGCCTAAATGTCCATCAATAGATGACTGGACAAAGATGTGGTATATTTATACAATGGAATACTACTCAGCCATAAAAACTGACAACATAATGCCATTTGCAGCAACATGGATGCTCCTGGAGAATGTCATTCTAAGTGAAGTAAGCCAGAAAGAGAAAGAAAAATACCATATGAGATCGCTCATATGTGGAATCTAAAAATATATATATATAAATACAAAACAGAAACAGACTCATAGACATAGAATCCAAACTTGTGGTTGCCAAGGGGGTGGAGGGTGGGAAGGGACAGACTGGGATTTCAAAATGTAGAATAGATAAACAAGATTATACTGTATAG